AGCGGGCGGCGGCGGCGGCAAAGACGTGCAACGTGTCCGGGTAGACCACACGAAAAGCAGATCGGTCGGTTGTCGGCAGTGCACCATGGATTAGGGACTCGGTGGACTGGAGGTCGTGGCGGCTGGCTGCTATGAACAGGAGCGGGCAGTGGAGGCGGCACTCGGAACGTGTGTGGTCATGGTCGTGCTGCTGCTTCGGCATACGTCAATGGCGCATTGACTGGTGGCACCAGCTGTGGAGTAAGGGCCTCAGACACTTGGTCTTGTATAATAGTCCGCAGTGTAGGGCTAAGCGGTGCACTGCGCTCTGGTAGGCCGGAGATGAGTGACAGTTGGCGGGCAACTTCTTCACATACAAAATCTTTTATCTGCGAGAGGAGGACGGGATTTTGCAAGAGAGTCAAGCCGGACATCGATTCCTGATGGGGGACAGCACGGCGGGTGACGAGACGTTGCCGGCGGAGCTCATCATAGCTTTGGCAGAGCTCGGTAACTTGAGCGACAGTAGCCGGGCTTTTTGAAATGAGCATTTGGAAGGCGTCTTCGTCAATACCCTTGAAAATATGCTTGATGCGGTCCACCTTTGTCAAGTTCGCATCGACGCATTTGCACAAGTCAATGACGTCTTCTATGTAACTGGTGAAATTCTCACCAGGCAGTTGAGATCTTGACTGAAGGCGCTGCTCCGCATGAAGTTTGCGAACAGCAGGACAACCGACGACTTCGCTGAATTTTGTCTTGAATTCTGTCCAGGTTGGAACATCGGTTTCATGGTTCCGAAGCCACAAGTGGGCAATGCCACTGAGGTAAATGCCGACGGTGGCCAGTCTCGTGGCTTCGTCTCATTTGTTCAAGACACTCACGAGTTCGTAGGTAGCCAGCCAGTCGTTGACGTCGTGATCGATCGTGCCGCTGAATATAGGAGGGTCCCGCTGACAGACCGGGCCGATGCACACGATGGCCTGGGGAGCCATAGGGGGAGGGCTTGTAGCAGATGCAGTGGTCATCACGGCAGGTCGAGTCCGGCTTCGCAACTCCAGGATTGCGAGGAGACCAAGCGAACTCCACCAAATATAATAAAGAACTGTGACAGTCAGAACTGTTATTTGAAACAAGGTAGAAGCGTAGGCCTAGCCAGCGAAAGCAGCGATAACGTCAGGCGCGAGCGTCTCGTGCTTAGCACTGACGATGTGTTTTCCGAGCACAACACCCGCGTAACACGAGCACCCAAAAGGTGGTTCATAAAGCACCATAGGACAAACAACTACACTCAAACCCTGAGCTACAATGTACCCAAAGAGTTAAATCTATTACAGAATTGCGTAAATACAGAACCATCATTATCACACAAGCACTTGCTTGATGTCTTTCTCTATAATCGATTTCAAAACTATCACTAAAGCTTGCAAATTTACCTTGTATTTATCTACCCTTTTTACAATGTATTCATCACATACATGCTCTTCTTTTTTTACTACTGCTTTTCTTTATATCCATTTTTGCATTGTAAATGAACAATACTTTCTTGGCGGTCACATTATTCACTATTCACACATACTCTAACCCATTCACAGTGCGCACACATGTATTTATATGCATTTACAACCAAAAGCATTGTCTGTACTACACCTGTGTGCACTCCTGCTGTTGCCTGGTTTCAGCCCCCTAGCCTTGTCAGGCTGTATGCTTACAGCTTTCTTGCTAGGGTGGCCTTCAACATTGTACTTCGTGCATTTCGTAAATAAAATTTGACTCGACTTGACACTGGTATATCACACGTCAAGGTGTTTCTAAGAGTCTTTGTACCTTGGGAGTCAGATTGTTTCATTTGCAATAAGCCAGAAACTATTGATCAGGTTTTTTTTACATTGCTGGAAGGGAATGTACTTTTGGGAAGTATTGCAAAGGACAATCAAAAAGGAATTCCCACGGGACCCACACGGTATCAGATTTCTCCTTATAAACAATAAGGATGGCTTGTCATTTGACTCAATAATGTTAACAGGCCTCCATTGTTCACGGCGGGCTTGTATGGCAGGATTTCACTGTAATCCAGATGCAAGACCCACAAGAATGTACTTTCGAAAGCACATGTTGAAATTTGTTGAACTTCAGAAAGCAGTACTTGAACATATTTTAACACAGCACATGACTACGGGGACACAAGAGAAGAAGGTACAAACCACAGCACTGACTCGCAAGTGAATATTTATTGAAACAAAAACTAACACTTCAACCTTCAGACCCATGTGACCACACTACACCAAGAAAACAGCAGTTCAACTGACAACTTGAAACAGAAAAAAACTTGATACAACGCACCTGCAGTCTCCAACAGCAGAAAAGGTAAACGGGTTATGACATGGTCACCCAACAATTCGCGGTTTTTGGCGAAAAACGAAGGTAGAGGGTCGAACATGCTTGTACACGTGTGAAAACTGGACTGTGAAAGATTATTTGTCCAAACTTGATAAGACAGATGCTTGGGCTAGTTCTGTCTCTCTTTCTGTCCTTGTCTCTTCTTCTTCTGTAGTTACGTCGTAACTACTCGTAGTCTTGAGCTGTGCAAATATGTTGATTCAGTCCAAAATAAGCCGTAGAAGTCTTCGGCTGTAAACTCCGCCCACTGCAGGCGACTGCCATTTTGCCGTGGCGCGCGTAACGTCACAAACCAATGGGAGCAGTGCCGTCGTCTGCTACCAAACGGCACCAACAGCATGCGGTCAGTGTGTTCACTGTGTTGCGAGTGTTGCTTGTCGCATGGTCCGCACGTGTCGCAAGTGTTGCGAAGTGGTATCGGTACCATTGCCATGTCGTTGACACCGTCATCAGCTCAAGATTTGGACACTAATTTATTTATCGAGCAGCAGAAGCAGTGACGACTTCGTGTACGCTGCGCATTTTGATTTTGGGCCCATCCCCACCAGCTCGAGCGAAAAAAAAAGCGCCGAAGACGGGACGCACCCAGATGCCAACGACCTCGGTGTTGTGGCAGATGGTCTTCCGCTATGCTAAGTAGATTTATTTCAGGCATGCCAGGTTGACAAGCTAGCTTAACGATTAGGAAATGCTGCATTCGCAAGCACACTTTGCGCAATGAAATTTGTAAAGCGTGCAGATTTTTTTTTTACCAGCATACGTGCATGCACAACTTAAGTGATGGTAATGATGCTGCGCATACTGACCATTGCTTTTGCATGTTGTGCTGCGTGCAGCGTCTATGTAAACATTATCCGAAGTGAACTCGTATCTACTCAGTGCGACAATAGGGTTCCTCGCGATGTGCATCTTGGCCGAATCTTTGCGGCACAGCGTCCGGCCACAGCCTCGCCTTTTTCACTGGTATACCAAACTCGCCGAGAAGACGCTGGTCATCATTGTAGCAGTTCACGGTAAAGTGCGCTGAGCACAAAACAGATGCGTCACTTACATACCAGTCCTTCCCACACACGTTTATCTTCCAAGCCTTGCGTTTGGCGGGCTCTTTAGGGAACTTGGAGAATGACACAGTACTCTCCCTGCTCTATACGCTCTGACACCCCACAGCGCAGCATGGGCAATGCAGTGACGTTGCTTCAGCCACTGCAAGTCATTCAGTTCCAGTGGCATGTTGAATAACGCCAAAACAACTAGATTGCAAGCACAGCTGACCATGAAACACGATCGCCCTCCGTACTGCACACCATGCAGAAGTTCGTGGAGCAATCGGTTCGTTACGTCACGGCTAGCAAGTGCGCCAGTGTAGCCCCACCACTAGGCCGCTCCCTCGTTTATAAAAATATTTGATTATATGTTACCGCCACAACCGAATGTGCTGAAATTTCGCCAGCGTGTTTGTGAACGTACAAGTACCAACCCGCAAAACACAGATTATGGTCGTAAATTGGGTGTCATGACCCTTTTAAGATATCATGCTACCTAAGAACCTAATGAACACCTACATGATAGCGAAGCTAGCTTCTTAGATAGCATGATATCTTACCTTTTCTGCTGTACATGTGCGGTGTATCACGGTTTTTTGCGTTTCAAGATGTCAGTTGATCTACCATTTTTTTGCTATAGTGTGGACACGTGAGTCTGAAGGTTGCAATGTTCTTTTATTGTTTCTGTTTCAATAAATATTCAGGAGTCTGTACCTGAGTGGTTGTCGAGGGTGTGACCCTTGATAGCTCTAAAGGAATTTTAAATGAGTGTATGTCCAGTAAGACTGCCATTATTTGTTGTTGCGACCTTTAAATCATTGCTCATGAACATGAAGTCTGGGAATAGGCAATAAAGCCCAAAAAAAAAGCGTGGCAGTGTGGTAAAACAGCTGCTTGCCTCGCAAACGACCCGGGTTCGATTCTCACTCGGATCCAGATCATTTTATTATTTCTCATTTTTTGTTGTTTTCTTTTTTGGTCACGCTACGATAATTATTTTTCGCCAACCAATGATTCCGACACCGGAATTTCTGCTAAACGAGCTCTTTAACGTTACCGCGTTGAAACAACGCGATTCGTCACGCATTCATTCACGGTTAGCACGACTCTAAACCGTCCCGTGTTTGAAGAATGATTTATTTTTAAGCGTACGTGTTCGTAGCTTTCTCGGAAATGTGTGTTTGTTTAAAAATAAAATCAGCAAGCCTCTGTCCGACGGACGTTCAGAATTTCTATAATTATTTCCTAGCTAGAGCCGCAAGGAAATCTGTGGTGTTCCGTAGTTTCCTTTTGCCTGGCAAAGCATTGCCAAAGCGAGGAAAAAACAGTTACACGTGAAAGGGGAAAAAGCAGCGCAGAAATCTGCCTGACCACAGGGGGCTATTCTCGTGCTGCTTTTTGCCCTGCTACAAGCTAGAACCAACAAGCCAAATCCCAGGAAAATCGTTTCGTTGAAGCAAGCAAAACGTTTCGACGTGTTCTTTATAGAGCCACGCTGTCCTTCTCGATCTTCACAATGCGTGCGTGCCCCATTCAACCCAATCGGATCCGCGCCAGTATACGATATCATATACTGACCTTTGCTTTGACGCGGATGGCTTCGCGTGCGTGAAAGCCCATCATTCCGGACATTGTGTTCACTCGAAATACAAACACCACTCTGTCCAGTTACTGCGATGAGCAGCGCATAACTTACGCGCACAAACAAAGGCAGTATCCAGTGCGGCGGCCGTTTCTACTCCTGACGCACGGAATATTGTCACACACCACCGGGCCACAGGGCTGTTCGGCATTCCATAAATCAAGCTGTGTTCCAATACTCACCGTAGACGGCTAAATAGACAGCTAAATGGACGGCGGCCATCTTAAGTCCCATTCCAATTCTCACGTAGCCGGCAAAATAGACAGCTCCGAGAAGACCACATCGTAGACAAATACGCTGCAGCAACGCCTCCTCTAAACAATGCCTGGGGAATGGCTCGCGCTCCCAGCGGAGTTGGCCTGCCTTCAGTTTTGAGCAAGCGCGGCGCGGTGGCGCTCGCGACCGAGAATCAGTTTGGGCTGTCACGGAGGATGGACGTGTTTTTTGAGCGCTCCCGATCGACAGCGCAGATAGGTGTTTTTGCATGTTTTGAGCTTGTCTTTATAATTATAAGGCAGTGGTTGAAATCTTCGTAGCACTAATTTTATGGCACGGCTTTTTCGGGGGCCAGTCACCAGGTATTTATTAGTTAGCGCGGGTGTGTGTGTGTTTATATTTTTTGTAGTTTTTTTCTTTTGCCACCCCGTGGGGGAGGTGCGCGTACATTGAACACGCGAATTTTTGTAGTAGAGCTTAGACTTTCTTTTTTTTTCGTAGTGCAGGGCTCGAGTTTAGAAAGACATGGTTAAAAAGACTGTAAAGTGTTCAGGATGTGAAGTGGGTTTCAAAGTGGACCCAAGCGTAGAAGCGGATGGAGGAGAGGATGACGCGAAGTGTAGGCAATGTGAGGTCGAGGAAAAAATGGAGAAAATGATGGTTGCCCAGAGTGAACTGCTGATGAGAACCGCCGAGCTCGAGACTGCGTTGGCGACAGAGCAAGAGAAAACGAGGGCAATGGGAGAAAGACTGAAGTCTGCCGAGGAAGCACTAGCGAAGCTGAACAAATAAGCGGCCTACGGAGAGAACAGTAGGGAACCGGCAACCAGAACGGTGGAGAAGGAAGAGCAAGCAAGTTTGGAAAAAATGGGTTCAGCCGGTTCAATTGTCGCAAGGCCCAGCTTCAGCGAGGTAGCGGTGGGGCTGGGAGGGGACAAAGCAGCCGGCGTCACAGGTGCAAGTAGCCCCCAGGTGCAGGATGCTCCAGCTGAAAAGTCACAGCATGTGATAATCGCCGGGGACTCGAATTTAAATCGATGCACAGAAGCCACCAAAAAGAGGGTAAGAGGTGACAAGAAAGTTGCAGTAGGGGCATTCCCAAGACGCAAGCTTGAAGCAGTCATGGGGCAAGCGAGCGCAAAACTCAAAACTACAGCTGATAGACGAAACCTCGTGATAATTTCAGGCGGTTTAAACGATGTCTTAAATGAAGATACAGCAGGACTAGCAACCACACTGGCGAAAGGCGTCGACGACATACGCGCCACTTCTCCTAAGGTAAGGTAGTGATATGCACAATACCGGAGATACCGGTGCGTGATAGCAACCTGCATAGAGCGGTTGTCAACGCAAAGAGATATGGCGGATGAGTCGAGAGCAAGGCTTTGAGGTGGTGGAAATAAACAGATAGGTGCATAGGTGGGGCAGTTTTCAACGAGACAGAATTCATTTCGATGGGCGGCTAGGTAATGAGGTGAGTTGGAGACTTGCAGGACGCGCAGTAGCTTTTTTGGGAGGCAAGCGAGCCCTTCGGGGTGCAGGATAGCTAGTAACGAGGAAAACAACCAGGGAGACTCTTCGACAGGTGGTATGGACAGATACGATTCCAAAGTGGCACCAATATCTAAGATAGGTGGAGTTTGGGACATAAATAGACGTAGCCACGAGCGCCGAGCCAATTCAGACATAGGGTATATTAACATGCAGTGTGGTAGGAACAGGCTGAAGTGGGAAGAGATATAGGAACAGCTAAAGGAAGAGAGGCCGATGGTATACGGTTTTGTAGAAACACATCTCAGGGACATGGAACAACCTCCGAACAATCCGAACTACGCGTGGGAATATTGTAATAGAACTGAAGGTAGCAGAAAGGGGTGTGGTATTGGTGCATTCATTCATAAAAGTACAGACTGGCAAAGGGTCAAACAGGAGTGCAAGGAACATTTATGGCTAAAAGGGAAAGTGGCAGGTCAAATGACACTCCTTGGTTTCGTGTACTTGTGGACGGGAGAAAAGGCCAGAGAGGAAAACCAGGCAATGGTAGAGTGTATATCAAAGGACATTCAGGAGTTAGGAAGAGAGTGCGAGATAATTATACTAGGAGACATGAATGCGCACATAGAAGATATAGATGGGTATACCGACCCGACAGGCAAAATGATCATGGATATGTGTGAAAGGCTTGATTTGATCATTTGCAACAGTACCGATAAGTGTGAAGAGATAATAACATGGGAGGTAGAAAGGCTGCAGTCGACGATAGATTATGCACTGATGTCACACAGGATGTATGATAAGCTCAGGGGAATGCACATAGATGAAGGTGGCTCCAGAAGTCTGGGTAGTGATCACAAATGTATCAAGCTAAGTTTTGGAAGAGCAGTGAAAGTGGAAAGGAGACAAGATGAGCAACTATAGGAAAATTTTTATTCAGAAAGGCAAATCGAAATAGCCACTAAACAAATTGAGAAAGTAATCACGGAGGATAATAAGACAGTGTGGACATACACGAATCTAATTAGACTCTTTGAGCTAGAGCTTGCTAAGACGCGTGACAAGTCACCCCGGAAAAGAAGACACAAACCCAAAAGTTGGTGGGATGAGGAAGTTAAGAGAGCCATATCAAAACGTCAGGGAGCCTCTAGGGAACACAGACATGCTAAGCAGCGGGTGAACCGACAGATGATGTGGAAAGAAAATGGGAAACCTTTCTAAGCTGTAGAAGGGATGCATCCCTTCTGATCAATGAAAGGTTAGAAGAAAGGGAGCTCAGTGGCTGGCGGAAGTACATAAAAAAGATAGAAAGGCAGCTGCGAAATTTTGGAACCATCTAAACTCCCTAGGAAATGAGGCGAGCCTAGAGCAGAGTTTTATAACTACAGCCCAAGGTGCTAGGCTAGAAGGGGACGAAGCTATTGGATATACAAGAACAAGGGTGACAGAAAAAAATGGCAGCATATCCACGGAGTGAATGATGGGGAGTAGGGCGAAGCATTCGTCCGTCCATTCGTTCTTGCTTCCGTCCGTTCCTGCGTACGTCTGTGTAACCGTCCTTGCGTCCATCCACCCGTCCGTGCGTGCGTCTGTTCGTGCGTCCGTCCCTGCGTTCGTCCATGCATCCGCACCTGCGTTCGTCCATGCATCCGCGCCTGCGTCCGTTCATGCGTCCATCCATGCATTTGTCTGTGTGTCCGTTCGTCCATCTATTCAGCACTCCAAGTACCACCATCCCGCATCTTTTCATCATATATTCTCCGTATAGAAGCACCGCCATCCAGCGGACATTTCAAGGACTAAACGGGAGGTGGCACATGCACACTTTCTTACGGCTTGTGCTTCGGGTTTACTTCCCACCTTTAACCACCTCGAGTTCATGGTATATACTAGTTCACCGTATTCATGGCTATGCGGCCCAACGCTCGCTAAACCTTTCTAAAACCAAGGAGGTTACACCCAGTGAGTATAACGTAGCAACCCTTTCTTGTCAGATCGTGCTCAATGTACATGCCAATAGCTGCTAATGAGGATCGCAGCGTGCGCGTTACCTAAAGGCCGAATGCTCCTGTCTCTCATTCCCCCTTAGCAGCCATTAACATGTGCATTGAGCGCTATCTTTTATTGTTCAATTTATTGTTCAACAACGCACAGAAGAAATCTCTCACCGGAACTACCTTGGAGGTAAAAATCGTAAGGACCGCTATTTCGGGTATGTGCCACTGGTGGTTACGTACTACGAGAGATGCACAAGCCACGCCATAAGGAACTTCGCCCCTAAAATTTCAACAAAGAAATACTTTATGCACCACAATAGACAAGGACGAATCAAGTGGTGCAATAGCTCCATTTTCACAACGAGAGTGGGAAAGGGCTGAGAAAATGGTTCCTAGTAGTACATCAACAGGCCCGTACGGCATTCCAATTATGCTGATAAATACATTAGGTCCGAAGTCTAAGCAGGCTTTGAGAGAGGCAGTGAGCGAAATAATAATCTATGGTGAAGTTCCCGATGAATGGAAACTTAGCAGGATCAGCACGATCTGTAAAGGAAAGGGGGACAAAGCTGTCGACATAAACAACTACAGTCCTATAACAGTGACATCAGTGGTCTACAGGCTGGCGATGCAGATTATAAAGGAAAGACTGCAGGCATGGATAGAGGATGAGGGAGTGCTGGGGGAACTGCAGAATGGGTTTCGGAAACACAGGAGGTTGGAAGACAATCTGTTCTCACTGACGCAGTGCATCGAAATAGCAGAAAAGGAACACGGGCCCCTGTGGCTAGCATTCTTGGATATCAAGGGAGCGTACGATAGCGTGGTTCAAGAGGAATTGTGGGGAATACTGGACACACTAGGCATGGAAAATGTAGTCACTAATCTTTTAAAGGATATCTATAAAGGTAACAAGGTAGTTATAAAGTGGGAAAAACAGGTATCCAAGCCTGCAGAGGTAAAACGGGGGCTTACGCAGGGGTGTCCCTTGTCACCCTTATTATTCACGATGTACCTACAAGGATTAGAGGCCAAATTAGAGGGAAGTGGACTGGGCTTCAAACTCTCTTTAGTTAAACAAGGAAAACTCATTGATAAGGCACTGCTAGCATTAATGTACGCAGATGATATAGTGCTAACGGCCAACAACAAGGAAGAGTTGCAGAGATTGATGGACATCTGCGGTAATGAGGGAGATAAGTTAGATTTTAGATTCAGTAAGGAAAAATCAGCAGTCATGATTTTCAATGACAACGAAGGTAGTGAGCTTAGAATACAGGAGGTCACGCTAGAGATAACAGATAAATACAAATATCTGGGCGCATGGATAAGTAATGGGACCGAGTACCTGAGGGAACACGAAATATACGTGACGACTAAAGGTAACAGGAATGCAGCAGTGATGAAAAATAGGGCACTGTGGAATTACAATAGGTATGATGTTGTGAGAGGAATATGGAAAGGGGTCATGGTTCCTGGACTGACGTTCGGCAATGCGGTCTTGTGC